GGAGAGGGAGGGGGATGGGAGGGCGAACGGGTCACGAAAGCAGTGGGCCGAGGCAAACACCTGGCTTGCGTTGATGTTAGTCCAGTCCTTTAGACAGGGAGGGAGGGTGCGCCTTTTCTTTTCTTTTTTTTTCTTTTTTATTTTTAAGCCCAGGTTGTTGTAGAGGTGGGATACTAGACAGATGGATGTCACCCACAGTACTCGGCCACTCCGTTGTCCAGATGAACCCCTTCTGAAGACCCCGCCCACCCTTCCTCTCACCTATTTGCCCCGGCGCACCCCCACCCCCCCTGTCCTACCCTAGCGTATACCACCCAGGACCACCACCCATCACCAACTTGGTGGGGTGACCTGACCAGACAGCGGTTCTACCCAAATCCATTTGTCCCAACCACCACAATCATGGCGCCGGGCCGAGAGGGGACCACAAGCCTATCCAGTGGTGCGGCGAGAAATGACCCGTGGTTCAAAATTTAAATAAAAAAAGAGATTTTGATTTTTTCAGACGTATATACCGTTATAATTTCTGCAATTCAAGAGTAATCAAAAAAAAAAAAAAAAAAAAACAACAACGATCCCGTCACCGATTTCCATTTATTAAGTAAGGAGAAAAAATATATTATAACAATCTAGATTTACTTGTGTGCATGTGACCCCCGCTCGGGCAATGTCGCAGCAGTGGCTCGGTCAGCTAGGGTAGTTATGTGTCCTTTGGATTGCAAACGCCGGAGGCTAGCGGCCCCTAGAAAAAAAAAAAAAAAAAAAAAAAAATTCTGATTGTTTCCAGAACAATAAAAAGGAAAAGGAAAAGGAAAAGAGATCTCCAATGGGAGACTATGGGACAATGATCAACGGCCACAGACACAAAATCCAGATAGGTGGGACCTTGCTCCCGGGACCAAAATAAAGGCCCCCAAAGAGCAAATAGCCTCTTATCGAGCATGACGCGTGGGCCCAACTAACCACAATCATTTAATCACACACGCAACTTCCCCCCTGAGGGACGCTTGCGGTGCCTGAAGACCTCCCTGGTCTCCCCACAAGACACACACGAAAAAAGAAAGGGGAAAAAAAAAAAAAAACAGGAAAAAACCAAAGGGAAAAACATAACTTTGTCCGTATCTGCAGCTCCTGTCTGCATGCGCCGAGGAGGTCTTCAGGTGCTCCCCACCACCAACGTCAACTTAGATTCTCTACCCACATGACCGTTAGCCGCATAAAAAAAATGATATCCCTTGATGTGTTGTGAGTTCAACCCCCCGGGCAAGAACGGAACCGTAATCCTTTTTTTTTTTTTTTTTTTTTTTTTTTTTTTGTTAAGAACAGAATCATAACTGGGAAGAGTAGGATCAGGTGTAAATTAGTCAGGGGGGGCTTTATATCTACTTATTGTCGTCAGAGGAGCCTTATTCCAGCAATGAAGTTAGGTACCTCGAATCCCTTCTCCTCCTTTTCTGGAACAATATCCAATCCTGAAAAATAATAAGAACCTTAACCCCCTTTTCCAGACCCCCCCCCCCCCCCCCCCACCCCCCCCCCCCAAAAAAAAAAAAAAAAAAAAAAAACCCTCTCACCCTTCCCCCCCCCACCAGCGGGGGGGGGGGGCGTCCGCGCCCCCCCCCCACACCCCCCTCCCCCCCCCCCCCCCCCCCCCCCCAACCACAACAACAACGACAATAGAATGACTTCTGAATAAATAATACAAGTAAT